GAAAGAGAAGGAGCGAGATGAAATTAAAGGTTTTGCTGGAAAGATTAACGTTAGGTTAGAATCTGGTGCCACTGCCAGTGCTGCAGAGCCACAGGGTGCCACGGCACCTTCACCTCACACATCACCTGTGAGAGGAGCTGTTCCGAGAACCACCAGGCGGTTGATTGTGAGCGACACATCTCCGCCGATGCTCACTCCGGCGAATTTCAGCATTCAGCTGATTCACAACGCAGGTTACTGTTGACCCTTTATCTTCTGCAAGGCCCACAGTTGCACCTCGCACACTTTTTACGCCTCCTGGTCAGCAGGCGGCACGAGTATATAATAGGGCTGACACACATTCTACCTCACAGCCGACTTACTTAATAGTCTCTGATCGCGACTCTATTTCAAAGTTTAAAGCTGAAGCTCCAGCTTCACAGCCACTCCGACGAAATCAGGAAGTAGAAGGCTGGATTAGGCAGTTAGAAAATACAGTTAAGCCTGCCTGATGAGGCTTTGATTCGGGCTGCAAGAGCACACTGCAGAGGACAAGCAGAATTAATAATTAACTCACCCATTTTCGATGACATCTTTTCATGGGTTGATTTTAAACAAAAGCTTAGACAAAAGTTTAGAGGCACGTGTTCAGCCTCTGACTTTTTCACTCTGCTGTATGAGGTCCGTATGCTTGCAGGACAGGCTCCTCTTGATTTTTATGCAGTGCTTGAGGGCATGGTGTATCAAGGCTATCGAGATCACAAAGAAGCCATAGGTAGCCCTGAGGAGTTAATTCGAAGGGTATTTTTACAGGATTGCCAAGCTGGCTAAGAGAACTTTTAGCTCTTAAAGAAGGTGACTCGGTTCAGTCACTTGTTGAAGCTTCACAGCGGTTATGGAATGCTAGAGTAGGAGTGTCTAGCCATGATGAACCTCCTAAACTCCCTGCAGAACACGAAGATCTGGTATTGCAGAGATCTCTCGTGACGCGCCTCGTACTTATCGCGGTTCGCATATCAGCGATCGACACTTGTTTGTTGGGGATGTCAAAGAGAAGGTCACATTCGCAGACAGTGTCCCTTTCAGGATGGCCAGAGGGGAGGAGCTCCACTCACCTCTGGGTATCAAAGGAGCCCGAGAAAGGTCAGCTTTCGAGGAGAACCAGATTTCGTACGAAGGAGAACGACAGTTGACAGAGGCTGCGGTCCAGACAGTATCTGAGGTTTCTGAGATCACTGCTCAAGGTCCATGTGGGAGACCTCTAGTGAAGATCCGTGTTGGAGGAGTTGCAGTTACAGCTTTTATTGATACCGGATCTGAAGTTACTTTGCTAAAAATGGGTGCTTCACAACCAATGACTCCAAAAAGAATTTATCATGAAGGACGTGGTCTTCGAGGAGTTTCAGGCCGGCTCTTCGAGGCTACATCTGAATGGGATGTCGATGTATCCTTTGGTAATGGCAGGAGAATCCGAAAGTGTTGTCATAGATTGTGTTTGGTGGAGGGTATAGATTTTCCGGGAGATGTTCTTATTGGAATGGATTTTCTGCAAAGATTCTGTTACCAGCTGGTACATAATCATACTCCACAAAGAGATTACCTGAAGCTTCAAGGGATAATACTCCCTATAACATATGCTGTTGGCACGACCTTGGGTATCACTGCTGTTGCGGAATTCACTCCTCAGAATCACTGTCAGAAGTTGGCCCTCAGGAGAACCACCTTGTGTCCTCCTCGTAGTGGTCGGTATGTTTTGGTGACTGTGCCTCAGACATTTAATGATAAGGAAGTGATTCTAGAAGCAGCCACTGACAAAGTTGTTGTACCAAGGACGGTAGTTGTTCCCGAGAATGGGACAGCTTCCGTATGGGTTGTGAATGGAGGAGCTCGTCCTGTACACCTGCGAAATGGTACACACGTGGCAACTGGAGCACTATGCACTGTGGTGGATATGAAGCATTCATCTGAAAGATCTCGTTCTGCTGAGGAGCAGGTTAAGGATAACTCAAACGTTCCTGAACATTTACCAGAGGAATTCAAGATTAATGTGATGCCTCTGACCCAGACTTCAGATTTGAGGAAGATGATTTTGACGTAGCCTACGGTCAATTAGACTTTGGTTATGATGAAAGTGACTTTGTTGTTTTTCCTGAGACAAGTTTAGATGATCCTCCAGATATTGCATCCGTTGCTATGGCAACAGACACTCAAGAAACTGGTCCAGATTTGAGCCACTTATCAGACACGCAACGTGAGGATATCCTGTCACTTTTGGCTAATTATCCACGTCTTTTTAGCTCAGATAAATTTTCTATTGGCACTGTACCAGGTGTACAACATCGTATACCTACCCATGAGACTCAGCCATTATGTACACGTCAATGGCGACTACCTGAAGCAGCTAAACAGCAGATACGGGAGGAGTGTGACGCCATGCTTGAGGCTGTGATTGAACCAAGCACGTCACCCTGGCTCTCTCCCGTAGTACTGTTAAAAAGAAGGATGGAACAGTTCGCTTCTGTGTAGATTATCGTCGGCTGAACTCTGTGACAATAGCTGACACGTACCCTTTGCCAAGGATCGATGAGCTGGTGGATGAGCTCAGAGAGACAGCAGTCTTTTCATTGCTTGACAGCAGGAGTGCTTACTGGAGTATCCCAGTGGCACCTGAAGATCGGCCAAAACGGCATTCAGCGATGGTTATCGCCTTTTTCAATGGCGCCGTATGCCATTTGGTTTGTCTACGGCACCGACAACTTTTCAGCGAACTATGAATGCGATTCTTAGCCCAGTTCTGGCCGGCACACATTAGCTTACCTAGACGACATTGTTGTCTATAGTAAGAGCTTTGACGAACATCTTTGCCATCTGAAAGAAACACTTGATATTTTAGATTGTTCTGGGTTCAAGCTGAATGTTAACAAGTGTGAATTTGTTGTGCAGAACTTCAGGTTCTTAGGGTTCAGAGTCACTCCTGTGAAGGCATTCTCCCTGATCCTGACAAAGTTCGAGCAATTGCGGAGATGCCAGCCCCAAAGACAGTCAGGGGGTGAGAAGATTCTTAGGAGCTACAGGATTCTTTCGGAGGCATGTTCCAGATTATGCTAAAGTAGCTGCACCCTTGACCCAACTCATCAAGAAAGATCATAGATTCAGATGGACAGATGAGTGCCAGAAAGCATTTCAGTCTTTGAAGGATGCTTTGATGAATGCTCCAATTTTACGCAAGCCTAACTTTGATCTCCCGTTTGAGATACACACGGACGCATCACAAGTTGCAATTGGTGCTGCATTAATGCAGAGAGACAGCGAAACAAGCCCCATGCAATAGCTTACTACAGTCGTAAACTGAGAGGACCAGAGACTCGATATTCTGCTACTGATGCTGAGGCTCTTGCCGTTGTTGAGAGCGTTCGAACATTTGATCCTTATGTGTATGGTCGCAGATTTACGGTGTACACTGACCATCGACCGCTTGTGTACGTTTTCACAAAGAAAACAAAGTCTCCAAGGATGTCTAGGGGGCATATGAACTGTCTGGTTATTCATTTAACATTCTATACAAACCTGGCACCTCACACCACATTCCAGATATGCTAAGCCGAAATATTTCAGCTGTGAGTATAGCAGATCCAGACCCAAAGACCATGAGGTCAGAACAGCTGAAGGATCCGATGTGGCACGAAATTATTGCTTATCTGGAAGAGAAAGCAGTTCCTAACAGAAAACCTCCACGCCCACTAGAAGAATTCGATCTCCAAAATGGTGTTTTGTACCATGTAAGAACCTTACCTGATCGAATTGTGAGCCAACTTGTGGTTCCTCGACAACTTCGAAGGAGTGCATTAAAGCTAGCCCACTCCTCTCCAATTGCCGCTCATCCTGGAGTTTTTAGAACGTTCGTCAAGCTTAAGGACATGTTTTACTTCCCAAACATGCTCCGTGATGTGAAGGAGTATGTTGCAGCATGTGAGGACTGCCAACGACGTAAAGGAAGCCCCAGGAAGGCTCCTCTTGCAAAGCCGCCAGACGTCTCAGTTCCTCTCGAAAAAGTGAGTGCAGACTTGATTGAGCTAGGGAGATCTGAGGCTGGTTATCGTTACTGTCTGACCATCATTGATCATTTGACTCGGTACGTCCAGATTGTTCCACTGAAAACCAAGCATGCTGACTCTGTAGCTGATGCCATGTTCCAAGAGTTCGTTACGATATTCGGTCCTCCTCGCCTTATACAAACTGATGGAGGATCTGAATTTAATAATCGGCTATTTAAGGAATGTTGTCGTCTACTACAGATAAAGACGACTCTTACAACCGCTTATCATCCCCAGGCCAATGGGATGATAGAAAGAACGAACAGGGTAGTGAAGGATGCAATTGCATCCCTAGCAAACACAACACCTACTCGATGGGAGCAACTTATCCCTCAGGTGAGGCTGGCTCTTAACAGCGCCATTCACCGTTGTACCGGAGACCAACCTCTGTATTTGATGACAGGCCATCACGGTCATTTTCCTGTTGGACTTACAAATGATCTCGTCTACAATTCAGAGTCATCTAAAGCCTTTAATAATGCTCTTAATATAGCTCGAAAGGTAGCTCTCGAGACTACAAGAACTGCCAGGGAACAATGGACACGAGACTATGATAAGCGGTCAGCTAACCCAAAAGCATTAGGTGAAGGAGATCTTGTCTTGTATAAGAATCGAGTCCGTAAGACTGGTGTAGACAAGCTGCAAAATCCGCGCTGGTCAGGGCCTGCACGCATCATAAAGAAGATCGGTCCTGTCACCTTTTTGCTGAAAGACCTTTACCACCCTTTTAACGAAAGGCAGTATCACATAAATGATATAAAACCCTTTAAAGTCTTGGGCGAGATCACTTACCCAGACTTGTATGATGAATATGGTCCTGAGTATGTTGATCCACTTTTGGATGATGATGCTGAACCAGGAGTGATGCTACTTGCATCCTGTATCTAATGTACCCTTTTTGTTCCTGTTTTAATTTTAAGACTGTTCTGTTTTAAGTTACCTTAGTTTCATGTGTTTAATCGATATTAATCCGTGCTAGTTATGTCTAAAGCCAAGCCATTTTACCTCCTCGGGCAATCTTGATAAAACAGATGGACAATATCCTGCTTTGTAAGCAGCCACTGAATTTCTATTCATTTTATTTTGTCTAATTGAGCCTGCGCAACTCCAATGGGGTTGGGAGGGGATTTCACTCTTTCCAGACGTATGAGCATGTAACCACACCCTGTCCTGGATTGTGAATCCTGTGGGAGACTCCTGATGAAGCTTGATGATAGATGTCGAGAGCTTAAGATGAGGGTGCTGCAGTACCTGTGATGAACGTTGAGATGGAGTTATCACCCGTCAGTGGAGACCACTGTATTGACAGAGCAACCGTCTCGAGGCAGCAAGGTTTGTCAGGACTGTCGGGAGGATGTCGCGACCACTACCGTGGAGAGGAAGGTCAGGGAGAGCTTCGTCAACGTCGTCTCACGATGTCCCTGTGATCTACCGAGGCGCCCTAGAACACCCCAACAGAGGATGTGAGCAGATCTCGCTAGTAGGGGCAGTTGGACTACGAGGACCAGCCATATGAGACGCCGTGGACTTCGCTCTGCTAGGTGGGGAGGGGTTGTAGTGAGCTGCCGCTCTTACTGCCTCTTCTGACGACCCACACCCCGCTCAGCATCACCGGAACCCCCCCTAAGAAGCCCCGAGAAAAGAAAACGCATTTTGGACCAGGGCGTGAGGATCCCGACGGAGGCGATGACGGAGGCACTGCAGAAGGGTGCACCTGACGGAGGCGCTGTAGGAGGACGATGGCGACGCCCTGGGCATTTCTTCCAAATTACGAGGAGAGATGGCCAGTATTACGAGCCGACGACGCCCCGATTTCCTGCTCGAGGCCTGTGAAGGATGACGTCGGGAGGTCGCCCTCGAAAATACGGATTTCAAGATGGCGCCCAAGATGGC